CAAAAGTCACCATCAAGAAGGAAGATCTGGAACTGATAATGACTGAGATGGAAATCTCAAGAGCAGCAGCAGAACGGAGCTTGCGGGAACACATGGGCAATGTGGTGGAGGCTCTTATTGCCCTAACCAACTAAACATGCCCACAAGATTAACTTATTATAATAAAAATGCTTTTGTCTTTTAAATTTTTTAATTAAAAAAAAATTAGCCAAAAGCAATCGGAACAATACATTTAGCAGAGGTCGTGGCCCTAGAGACATTATCACTAATGTCAGTTGGATTTTGGCCGAAAGCTAAGAGTACCAGAGGAATATCTGTACTTCACTGACTATGCAAAGATATTTGAGTGTGTGTTGTGTTAAGTACCTTTGAGTCGCTTGTGACTCATAGTGACCCTGTTTACCCTAATTACAACTGCTCTGATGCCTGCCCTATCCTCATCATCTCTGACACACCCACCACATTACCCTAGTCACTGAGTCAATCCATCTCATCCAGAGTCTTCCTCTCCTGTGTTGTCCCTCCACCCTCCCAACCATGATGTCCCTCCCCAGGAAATTACCTCTCCTAAAAATATGGCCAAAGTATGTCAGATGGAGCTTCAAAATCCTTGCCTCCAAGGAGCAGCCTGGTGTCACCCTCTCTAGATCAGACCTGTTTGCTCTCTGAGCAGTCCAGGTATATTCAATACTCTTCTTTAGCACCACAACACAAAGACATACATTCTCTTCCTATTATCCCTAGTCATTGTCCAGTTTTCTGATGTATAGCAAGTAATTGCAAAGACCATGGCCTGGATCAGGCGCACCTAAGACTCAAGACTGACATCATTGCTCTTCAGTACTCTGGTGCGACCCCTGACAGCAGATTTTCCCAATGCAATTAATCTTTTAATTTCCTGACTGCTGTGTCAAGAGTTTTGATTGTGGAGCTGAGTAAGCTGCAATTGTTAACAACCTCAATCTCTTCTCCATCCATCATGAAGATGCCAATTGGTCCAGTGGTGAGAATCCTTGTCTTCTTGAGCTTCAATCCACATTGAAGGCTGCAGTCTTTGACCTTCTGCAGCAAGTGCCTCTGGTCCTCCTTAGTTACGGCAAGCTAGGTTGTGTCGTCTGCATAGCACAGGTTGTTGGCAACAAATTGTGGCTAACCTCGAGAAGAATGGGTACACAGGTCATAAGTACAACATATAAGTCATAAGTACATGTAGGTCATAAGAACATGTTTATATTAAATTTGTAGCTCTGGAAAGTGGTAAGGAGCCATGTGGCTTTTCAAGACTGACCTAGACAATGACAAGGCTTTTCCTCGGTGTCACCACCCCATCCACACTTGGCGGTAGTCAAGGACTCGGCAATTCCCACCCCGACACCTGCCATTCTCTCGCGCATGGGCCAGCGCACAGCTGTGTGGTGCCCTGATTATGGCGGCCATTCCTCCTCACTGATCCATGGGACAATGAAACACCCACCAGCATCTCATTGGAATCCCAGGAGAGGAGAGAGAGAGTTGGGTTGAGAGAATTGGTAGAAACACTAGGTGAAATCTTCCCATTCAGGTGGAAAGTAAGTGTACACACATCAGTTGTCCAGACCCCAGTAGAACAAACTCAAAGCAGTGCACTGGCAAGGCTGAGGGAATGGCATTTTCAATTCTCCTAAGAATCACCTACCCCCTTGTGGCCTAGTCTTCACTTAGTTGTACTAGTGATTAAGCCCGTTTTGAACCCACCAGGCGCCCCCACGGAGAAATCTCCCAAGGTGTGATTTATAGCCTCCACGGAGGGGCAGCTCAGAGTCAGCTCTGACTAGGCAGCAGGGAGTTGAAAGTGGGTTTTCTTTTTCAGGGACAGCATGGACTTAGTGAGTCAGGCGGTGTTCCATTCCTCAGGAGATCCCAGCTCCAGGTCCCCCCACCCCCACCCCGCCCCGGGGGCGGGGCCAGTCGGAGGCGCAACCTCAGCCCCGTGGGCCCCAGGGGGATCCTGGGAAGGCCAGGCCAATTTCCCCCTTCCACAAGCACGTGAGTCCGCGAGCACGTTAGCCCAGGAGTGGTGGAGCGGCGCAGAGCGGCGGCGTGGAGCGGAGCGGGGCAGCGGGGAGCCCGCCTTGGTTAGTTGGATGCTGTGGGGTTCCTCCAAATTCCTCAGAGGGCTGGTTTGGGAACCCAAGGTGGATGCCTCAACCTGGGTGGTAAGCCCGCCCCCCCCCGCCCCCCACCGGGGTCTTCCCTGAATTCCTTCAGCTTGTTCCTGTATAGGTTCTAGCACATTGGTCGTCTGGGGTTCCTTCAGGGGGTTTTTCGTTGTTCCTTCAAACTGTTCCTTTGGGGTTCCTTCGGACTGATCTTCTGGGGTTCCTTAGGGCAGTCTTCTGAGGGAAGGTGGGTCTTCTGGGGTTCCTTAGGGCTATCTTCTAAGGTTCTATCAGAGAGATCTTCTGGGGTTCCTTCAGGCTGGTCCTCTGGGGTTCCTCTAGGCAGATCTGTGGGTGCCTTTGGGACGCGTCTGCGGGAGGCCACCAAGGAGAACGGAGGACGCCAGCTTTGCAGGTTACATTGCACGCCGCTCCGTGATCACCTCGCGCTACTCTGCGGACACACCTGTGGACAGTGGCGCTGGAGGGTGGCTCGGGGGCGTGCAGAAGCCACTGGGGATGAGCTTGGAAGGGCTGGGGTGGCTTGTCACCAGCTACCCTCACATAACAGCGAGCTGCTTGCATTTTGGGGAATCAGAAGATTCCGAGGAACAGCCAGGGAGCTCTGGTGGCGCAGTCCTTAAGTGAGATTCGCTACTAACCGGAAGGACCTCGCTGGTGGTTCTAATCCACATTAATCTCCATGCGATAAAATTAGCCAATCTCTAGGATTTACAGCCTCCCAGTAAACCACTGGACGGTCGCTTCAGACGCAAACGCAGGAGATGAGTTTACTCTGTGCTACGTGGGTGTTGCTGTTCACATCCATGCTGTTGGGGCTGGAGAGAGCATTTTGTAAATTACATGCTCGTAACTGTTATCTCCTCAGAGTCCACAGACGTGTTTTGTCAGTTGCTTAAGACTGTACAACCGGGATATTATCATTCATGCAGCATTTATGGTGAAGTTTTGTGTGCCAATTTTTTTTATTATCACCCATTTTAATGAAAATGTACAGAGACTTTGGATTTCCATTCATTCATGTTTGCCAATTTTAAGTTGTACAATGGGTATCCTGTTGAACCAGAATGTGAGTGGTTCAGACCCATCAACTGGTCAACGGAAGAAAGATGATCAGTCTCCTTCCATTAATATTGTTGGGTCACTATGAGTCGGTATCAACTCGATGGCAATGCCTTTTGATTTGGTGGCATACCGCCTGTGGAGTTGATTCCAACCAGTTAGCCTCAAACATTTTCCAAGGCTGTAAATCTTTGCTTAAGTAGACTGCTTCACCTTTCTTCCACGGACCTGCTGGTGGATTTGAACGTCCAACATTTCAGTTAGAAGCTAAATACTTAAATCCCTGTGCCAAACAAGGCTGAAGAAAGTAAATATTTTTTTAATTTTTAAAAAAAAATTTTGATTTTTATGTTTTTACTTTGTGGGTGTGTACCATCAAATCAGATCTAACTGGTACAGGAAGAGATTGCCCCTCCTTCTCCACCAGAACCTCTGGTGGATTCAAACCACACCCCCCTAGGATTTCAGAGCAGCTTCTTGCCATTAGGCCACGAGAGCTCCCCAAAGACAGTAAATATTACAGCCGTGAAAACCCTATGAGACTGTTCTACTCTATCCTGTATATAGATAGGGTTGATGTAAGATGGAATTGACTTGATAGCAGTGGTAGCAGATAAGCGTTGATTTTGGTTTAGTAGGTGAAACGATCTGCGCATCTTTTACCCCCTTGTTTCTCACTCCTGCAGAGAGGGAGAGGCATCCAGAGGCATATTAAATGAATAAATGCAGCACTTGAGAACTGTTGAGACCTCTGTGTGTTACCACCACTGGGCCTTAGCCATTCCCCTAAGGGCATTTTGAAGAAAGCATCTTCACAGGACACATACCTAGAAATGGGGACAATGAGAGGGGTTCGTGGCCTGCTGAGCTGGCAAACATAGCCCTCAGCTCAGCCTAATGCTGAATAGAACTTAGGTTATTCCCAAGTGTTGTTAGTGCTACCACTCTGCTTCTTTTCAGACCTGTTGTTGTGTGCCATAGAGTCAGAAACAACACATAGCTGACCCTTCAGCGGGTTTTCAGAGGCAGTTAATTGCACGAGAGGAGACTGCCCATCCTTCTCCCCGGGAGTGGCTGGTGACCTCGAACCACGTGCCTTTGGGATTTCAGAGCAGCTTCTTGCCATTAGGTCACCAGAGACCTAGCTGTACTCTAATATAAAATAATTGAAGTGAAATTTTTTTAATTTAAAGTGAAATTTTTAATGAGGTTGCACTCTTATAGATGGGGGTGTGGAAGGGTGTGTTCTTCCCTAAAGGGCTTCAGAACTCTAGAGTCAAGCTGCCTGCTATAATATTCCACTTTTGAACACTTGAGATACAGTTTGTGTGTCTGAAGCAGCTATGTCTTTATTTTGAATGGCCTTAAATCACCAAGTAGGCCTTGCACCTATCAGCACAACACAGTTGTAGAAGGGTCAAGGGTGACAGAGTTTGTAAACCTTTTGAAATGGCATTAACCTTTGTAGAATAGAAGTGTCTTTTTTTTCTCCCCCAGAGGTGAGTTTTGAAACCACTAAAAAGATTGAAGAGCTTCTGTTTGAGAGCTTTGGTGAAAAGTAAGGTAAGACAGTAAGTAGTACACCCTTTTAGTCACTGCTGTTTCTCCTTTCTTCTATTTTCCTTAGCTTCAGCTTTCGATAATTCTTCAGTCACTCGCAAGTTCCAAGTTTCTGGAAGAGAGCGATGGCTGTGTCTCTGGGTTGCGCAATCCAGTCTTCCCTGAATCATGGCTCCACGCTCAAGCAGTATGATACCGACTGCGAAGTCTTCCGTCAGCGCTTCAGGCAGTTCCAATACCAGCAAGCTGCTGGGCCTCGTGAGGTTTTTAACAACCTCTGGGAGCTTTGCTCCCGGTGGCTGATGCCAGCCATTCGTTCTAAGGAGGAAATCGTGGAGCTGCTGGTGCTGGAGCAGTTCCTAAATATCCTGCCCACCAAGATAGAGACCTGGGTGAGGCTCAGTCAGCCAGAGAACAGGGAAAGGGTGCTGGCGCTGGTAGAAGACTTACAGAGAGAACTTGACATGCCACAACAGCAGGTGAGGAACAAAAATTCTCAAAAAGTCAAATTCATTCCTGTTAGGTTGGTTCCAACTCATAGGTGATGGGAGGAGATTGCCTTTCTTTCTCTCTTTGGAGCTGCTGATGGGTTTGAACCCCCAGAAGGTGGGATCTCTGCCATGAACCAAAGAAAATTAGCAGAGGCAGCCGAGACTAGCTCAGAGGTTTGGTCTTTGTGTCCCAAGTCTTTTTTTCACTTTTTGCTTCTGCTGGACTCAGCACTGAGACCCAAACTCTGATATGTCACTGTTCTTCCAAGTGTTCCCCGAACTATCCTGACATGAAAGGCAGCAAAAAATTTGCAACCTTAAGAGCTGC